GTGTGTGTGTGTGTGTGTGTGTGTGTCTGTGTCGAGTGAAGATGAGCCTGTGTGTTTAGGTAAGAGTTTCCACCACTTTCTATAGTTATAAAGTCTATACTGTGCTTACTGTATTTCAGCCACTGGAAAAAAGTTTTTAGGAACAAGAACTGCAGATCAAACTGATCTGGGATAATAGCTTTACAGGTGTATAATACATACTACTTATGTGGTAGTTTGCTGGTCTGGAGCATTCAGGTACGTGTTAAAAACAATGGCACAATCACAGGAGTGAAAATTCCCCTCTAGGTCCAACTGCGCAATGTTTAGAGAAAGTGAAGGAAAAGAGAAAAGACTTAACAAGTATGGCTTTGGAACGGTTGTCAGGAAAAAGTCTTAAGCTTGCAACTGCAACAGGAAAGCAATCCCAAGCACAGCAGCAAATCTACAACAGAATGGCCGAAGAAGAAATGAACCAAGATGTTGCAATGGCCAACTCAATGACCAGACCTCAACCTGACTGAAATGCTATGGTGGGACGAAGAGAAGAGTGGGCCAGGATTCCTCCACAACAATGTGAGATACTGTTAAATGCATATAGATGATTATTATTCCAAGGTATTGCTGCTAAAGGTTGTTCTACAAGCTACCAAGTCACGATGCGGTCATTCTTAGTCTTTCACAGGAGTACCCAGAATCCTGTGAACCATTTGTTTTTTTCTGTTTATTTAGTTTTTATCATTCATGCCCTCTTTTGTACCATGAAAACAGAGACATTTCTCAATTTGATTATCTCAGGTCTTTCAGATTTTCCCTGCCACGCTGTCTTTAAATGAAACTGAATCCCAGAGACCACAAAATTGATGGAACACACAAAATAAATACTGAACACTCCCCTCAGTGAATGTCATCTCTTTTGCCAATGCGTTGAAGTCAGTCAACAAAGTTAATTTCAGCTGATAAACTGGTGCATCCCAAACTATAACAGATACACCATCGGAATATCAAACAAGAAAGCCCCTCTTCTTCTCAGTACCTAATGTTAAGGGCTCTCGAACAAAGCACTTAACCCTCAGCTGCTCTGGCAGAGGTGGTCAGTCACTGCCAGTTGAGGGCTGTGTTTGCACCAATTTCTCTGCCTGGCCTCAAGTAGCAGACAGATAGAAGAGAACCTTGGGTCAGTCTCATGATAACTTGTTAGCCTAAGGCCAAAGAAGGAATGATGCCATGGGTGGAGTAAACACAAGGTTACTCTCCAGTCCACTAAATCTGTGTCTGAGAATAGTTACCAACAACTGTTTAATGTCTCTCTCTCTCTGAATAGTGTATGCTAACTAGCGCTTCTAGAAAATAATACAGTTTTTATTTCTGAAAGATTAAATTATTTATTTGTCATCTTCTCTTTTGATCTCATCTTGATCTTTTTTTGGATCATGTCTTCAGTATGAATGGACAAGTTTTGGGCTTGCAAGCCACAGAGGAAATCACAAAATCTGAGTGACACAATCTTACACTTGACTTAATAATAGCAAACCAGTACTGAGTTCGTGTGTTTGCATGTGTGTGTGTGTGTACCACATCTGAGCTGGGTTTCTGTTTATCACTGGACGGTGCTACAGTAGCAGGTGCACGGGTTGCAGCAGCAGGTAGGGAAGGGGATGTAGCCTCCTGCAAGTCAGCAGTTGGAGAGTTGGAAGGAAGCAGATTAGTGGCAGCCAGAGAGACAGAATGATGACAGAGCAGATGATAATGCCAAAAAGCAACGGTTCCCATTCCTTATTAGACTCTTACCATAGTTTCTTCTAACAGATGAATAGATCAAGGCCTATTTCTAGTTTTTTTGGTTTTTTTTAAAGAAAAAGTCAAATTTTGCAGCTGAAAATATAGCCTGTTTAACATTATTAATGTTGCAGCTCAGTGTAAATGAAGGAAATTATAGACCTGAGATTTAAAAAGCTAATTAGAGGCAGTTGTCACATTATCAATCAAAATGCAAAGAGAAAAAGGAAAATGCTCAAATTAAAGTCTGAGTTATATTTTTCAGAGGTTCACTGAGGCCTATGGAGCCTCTTTGACCCCTCACTTGGTACTCGGTGACTATCAGAAGAATCACAAATACAGAAGCCGTGACAGAGAAGTGGGAAGTAAAGACGCTCTTTTCATTCATACTCATGCTGAGTTGTTGTGTTCTGTCAACTGTGATTCAACCAGTGTTTACTTCTTCATTTTGACAAAATCCTCCTACTGCTGATGAAAAATTCATGTCACAACCTGTGTGCAGAGCTCCATTGCTTAATCATTTGAAAACAATGTGCTAATAGCCAAAATTGTGCCGTTCAATTTTTAAAAACTGTTGTTCGATAATGAAAACATGTCAATATTTTAACAGTGTTGTATCCAGTACAAGACAAAAATGGCAGTAATGATGTTTTCTATAGTATCTGCTGTATACTACATTATGATGTTAATTTAACAGACTTCTCTAGGGGTCAAGAGTCTTAACAAAGCACCAAACAAACAAAGCATGACATATATAAATACACATAAAAAAACCACCCTAATAACACTTAATGTGTAGATGAGAACTCAGAACTGTGGCTTTTACAGCCTGCAGTCTAAATCATAAAATCAGATGAATTCTCAGCCCATAAAGCAACAAACCAGAATTATAGCTAGGATAGCAGAGTTCTTTGGCTCTGTGCTTGAAGATCAATGTTCCTTAAGAGGTGTAGTTTAGCAGTTAACTGGGTAACTGATAACCTATGCCTGCTGTAAGCCATATATGTGAAATATATCTTGCCTAACCCGGTGCTAAGAGTGTAAAAATGACTGACTTTACCGCCTGCCAGCTTCTTAGAATAGTGGCTAAATGTTAGCTCAGAGTGTTTGGCTCCTCTGCACTCATAAAGCATTAATTGTATGCACAGTTAGCCTAGCATAACGCCATGGCTCCACTCTGTATGACAGGCTGCCAGGGCTGGCGTTTAGTGACTCAAGGCTAAAGGGACTATAAAGAAAAGTTAATGGGCTGTACAACTGCTGTGTGATGAATTGCTAAGCTAACACGGCAGGCCATGGCTGCATTTCATCAGAGAGAGAAAGGGAGTGAGAGTATATTCTGAATAACAGAGTCAGAAAAATAGCACTGTAGCCCTGTAGGACAGCTGTACACAGGTGAATGTGTGTCTTTTTACTACACTGTGTTCTATGTGCCTAACATGCACATAATTATTTGTTTTTATATTTTGAAAATGTTCAAACAGTCTAAAACAGGCTGACTAACAAAAACAATGGTCATTACAATTTACTTAATAGTTGTAACATCCTTTATTAGTTGCTATATTAAACTTACAGCAGGAGGACTTGGACGTGGTGAGATGGGGGTTGAGGGCTCTGAATCCTCTTTTTCTTTCTCGAGCTCCTTCTCTGCTGGTAGAGGAGGTGGAGGTGGCGGTGGGGTGAGGTTCGGGCACTGACCAATTTCAGCATTCTCAAAGGAAACAGGCTGAGCGAAATCTGACAAACTGAGAGGGGAACAGGCAGTTAGATGTAAAAATCATGTGCACAGCAGAATTAAATAAATCTGTAAGTATCAAGGTTTGCTATGGTTTATTATTTCAAGCCTTAATTTCATTTTCTTCACAAAATAAAGTAGATATTTAGTATTTTACATATACAAATAAAACTGCAACTAAGAAATATCAGGCTGAAATGACTATCATCACTGTCGCGTGTGGTGGATTCCCTGCTGGTGAATAAAAACAACAGGCCTGACATGCACATAATTTTATGGCTAAATCAATTGAGCATAGTCTTAGATCAGGCAGGCCACAAAACCAAGTTTAGCCCCAAGACCAAGTTTAGCCCCTGATTCCAATACATCAACTGATGCCAGCTGATTCAGTTTATACACTTCCAAGTATTTATACATATATTTGTTTCACACAGGGCACATTTTTTAAGTAGCTTTTCGCCTGTCTCCACTTTCTTTTTTCTCTTCAAGGCACTTTGCAACCAGCTTCACCACGAGCCTCTCACATCTTTTGTCACTGATCCCTGTTCTGCTCTGTTACATAACATTACTTTAGATGGATATAACATTTTCTTTGACAAAAGTGGTTCTGCCTTAGATACAATACCAGCAAAAAACCAACGAAAGACTAAACAATCCCTGTTAGCCAAACGCTTAGGCTTCAGAATGCTCTAAAAGCTCAGCTTACAAGGGTTTTTCCAACTCCTGCTCTCATCATTTAGATACATATGTGTGAGCAGAGCATTCGCACTCAGGCCTTTCATTTGGATGGGACTGCCAACCAGATCTTTATGGCTTAAAGCAGGGGTGTCCAACTCCAGGCCTCAAGGACTGGCGTCCTCCGGGTTTTAGATCTCACCCTGGGTCAACACACCTGAATCAAATGATGATTTCATTACCAGGCCTCTGGAGAACTTCAAGACATGTTGAGGAGGTAATTTAGCCATTTAAATCAGCTGTGTTGGCTCAAGGACACATCTAAAGCCTGTAGGACACCAGTCCTTGAGGCCTGGAGTTGGACACCCCTGGCTTAAAGGGAGGTTGTCCTAAAGGGGAGAGGTTGTTTCAGACACTGAGTGAACTGACAGACAGGCACGCAGATGTAAGCTTAGAAAAGGTCGGGGTGATAGGGCTGAAATGAAGGGAACGACGCAATCATAAACAGACAAAGACGAGGTGGTGTAATCTGAGTTATGAGCATGTTTATGATGCTGGACAGTTCAATTACTGCTGTTCAGGCAGAAAGACGGGCTTTATCATCATCAACACCACCAGCACGACCGTGACCTGCTGCAATTGCATTAACTACACTTTAACCTGTCAGTGTATAATGTCTATGGTGATCATTAAGACAGTAGGTATAGTGTTTAAATATGGATCAAACAGGTTTAACGGGAACATTTTAAACATAATGTAAAGTGAATTAGTACTTTCACCCATGTGTGATCTCAACATCGTAGGAGACAGAAGCATTTCTAGTGGCAGATCCACACTGTTTGTATCCAATTTTTTTAAAAGCTAACTTAAAAACAAGTCTACAGCCTAAACAAGCATTTCAATAAACTGCTGTTAATCATCTTAAAAAACACCAAACACTCTGCTGTTCAACTGAAGATCATGCCTGCATCAAATAAATTTGTAGAAAACAAATCTGTTCACAGTTATATCTGACAGAGTGACAAAGTTTAACATACACAGCATTGATCATGAGGTTCCATATGCATCCTTTGAAGGGGATGTTGGCTCTGTTGGAGGTCTGCTCTACTTCTGCGGGAATACCACCAAGGAAGATACGCTGCAAGTTCAATGGCTGGTCATTGGGAAGCATACCCTGCATCCTGGCTTCATCGTCCACGTGGACTGCAAAAGATCTGTTGGAAAACAAAGAAAAATTCCAAAATGAGGAAATGGATTATAACACACAATAAAACATCTTCAACAGGAGTTTGTTACTTCATAACAAAAACAAACGCTAACCTGCCAGCTAGCCTCTCTATGCGGAGTGTGTGCTCTCTGCCATCATTCAGCGTGCCTTGTTCAGGTCGTCTGGTGGCTTGTCGCCGATTGTGGCTGCCGGTAGACACTACGACTTCCAGCGAACCTCTGGTCAGCATGACTGAGAGGTAGGGCTGCCAGAGTTGGAGATAAACTTTATTAACAGGGTCAACATGTACATTCAAACTAACCCTAGGAGACAGAATATGGTAAAGTTCAAGTAAATTTGCATAAGTAAATGCAAAAGGACTTTGTGTTTTTAAATTCAGTACATTCAGTCCAGTGTAATATATCAGAAACTTTATTTTGATGAGTAGAAAATGACATGAAAATGTAGGTGTTTGATTACAGATTATTTCTTAAAAACACACAGGGGAACTGCAACAACAACAATCTTGTTTTAGCTTCTAATCCATTTATGTTGTTTTAAAGAAGACACACACACATACACACACACACACACACACACACACACACACACACACACACACACACAC